TTTAACTCATGGGTGGTAGTTTTCCAAGATATCGTCATGGGTCTTATTGTTTGTGTCTTGAGTCTCGACATTGAGTTGTTCCGCATTATTTAGCTTTCATTGTCTTTGGTTTTGGTGGATTGGACTCTTGATTTCTTTTGTAACCGGAATAAATTGATCAAATTGGGGACTATGGAGTTTATATATACAGCAAGTGTGCAAACTGCAAGATTTCGCTTTAGATTAAGATTTTATCAAATTGCACTCTGACAAATTATGGTGCTTTAAAAAATGTGGATGATCTGTGTTATTGCAGTTGTAATTCATGCTAATTGATCAGACTATCAATCAACCTGCAAATTGTTAATAAATATGTATATATTTATAAGAAATTCCTGAATACTACAGACCAAAGTTTACGGAATGATAATCAATCACTTGCTATATTAATAAATATGTATATATTGTTAATCAATCAACCTGATTTATTGAACGGTGGTGGGTTACTTTCTTGAATAGCTGGTTATTACTTTCTTTAACTTTTGATCAAATTGCAAATTTTGGGGTGGAAAATAGTATGACGTATTTTTCAGACAGGGAAGCTTCAATTTGTTCTGGGATGTCGGCTCTCGATTTTTTAGTGAAAATAACGGGTGCTTTTGGTGGGCGTTCCTTGTCCACTAATTTTCAACATTATGTGCAAAATTTACAAATTATATTGTGTGAGCCTGTGAGGTAGTCCTATTTGGTCATATCTTTTTAATCGTATGACCCAACATACTTTAAATTAACAAAAATATATATCTTTGTTATGAAATGCCACACTTTTGTTTATGTTTTCTTTTTTTAAAGTGATATTTTTAATTCCAAATTAAGAATACTTATTGAAAATATATGAATGTTTAACAACCAATTTAATAATTTATTTAGGAATAATCACTCGTTAATAAGTGATATGATGAAATTTCCATTTGCGTGTTCCGTGTCTTGGACCCTTGGTGTCTTTGAGTAAGATGAAATTCAACTACGCGGAAATCCAGCCAGGCCCCAGGCGAGTGGTCGTTGGAATTTGTTCCCACAATATAATATTTTATGAGTGTGTTTAGGGCTGCAAACGAACCGAGCGGCTCTTGACCCGGTCGAGTTTGACCGAACTCGAGTTGAGCTCGAGTCCATATTTTGCATTATCGAGCGGTTCAAGATATATGTTGAATTACTAAAATATCCTTTATATATTATAATAGTATAACATATGTGGTTAATGGTAATTTTATTTTTTCATTTATAAATTTTTCGAGCCGANTGAGCGCGTTAATAAAGGTGGAGCTGTGTTTGACTCTACCAAGTTAAGGTAACTGGACAAGATATGTAGGTAACACTTCATATTTAATGCAAAGAGCTCAGGCATTTTATTTTTATTTTAAATTTCTGGTTCTGTTAGCTGCGACCTTTGTGGTCGATATCCCATTTTTGGTTCTTACTCTGCAAAGGGTAATTAGTTTTAATGAATTAAATACTGCTTATGTTGTTAACGATGTAAGCTGGATGAATGGTCAATATTTGAGATCTCTTCCAACCGAAGAACTAAACAAGCTCATCTGTGAGCGGTGGAAAAGCACTGGCTTTGTCACAGAATCAAGGGGTGTTAAAATATCAACACCTCCTTTTGGGAAGGACCCGGAAGCATCTAGAACAATCTGGAAAAATGTGGAACATTGTGAAATATTGTGGCAGGTTCCGGAGGCATCTAGAACGACCCAGAAAAATGTGGAAGGTTCCGGAATATTGTAGAAGGATCTAGAAGCATGTGGAACCTTTGAGAGTAATGTGGAGTCTTCTAGAACCTTCCCAAATATTGTAGAGAATTGTAGTAGGGATATGTGTATAGGAGTTTTGTAGAAGTATCTAGAATACCCAAGACATTAGATGTTCTAGAGAATTCCTTTAGAGGAGGTGGTGGCTATAAATAGAGGAGACCACCTCATTTGCAATGAATCCCAATAATCCAAGCATCATCCAAGCATCCAAGAGTCTAAGTAAAAGAGTGAGTGAGTGTCATAGATAGGGTGCTTTGGTATTGATAAGTGAAGTATTGTAGCCTGGTCCATATTGTGTTTTGTAATTACTTTGTTAATCTAATAAAGTAATTACATTAGTATCCACGTGTTGCGAGTGTACCCAACCCAACAAGGGGGACATTTGTAAAAGTACAGTTGTCTCTTTCATCTCATTTCTCTCCTTGCAAATTATAGAATCTTTAAAAAAGCCAGCTGCTTTAGTCTAGTAACAGCCATCTTGATGATCCTTTATATCGCGACTTTTGAGGCTCTTCGGCATGAATTTTTTATCGACGTTGAGCTTGTTTAGAAATATTTCTTACTTTGTTGAGCAGCTGGCTTTTTTACACTGACAATAATCCCACTCAACGAATTATATGGCTTTCTGTTGCATATCTTGTCACAATAATGATAGTTGTTCCATTGATCAGGATTCTGTTCAGCTGCTAAAGGATGGGATTGACGTGATAACAGATGCTGACAAACTTCTTTCAAATCTACTGTCCTATCCTTTATACTCAACTCTTGCTAGGTAATTTTAAACCCATAAGTCTTTAGTTGCCTGCTNNACAGAACTGACTCATTGTGCAATGCACACACAGGTTGAAGGCAGTCTGATTAGACTAGTATATGACTATTTAGGTTGGCTCATGTTTGCGCGAGAACTGATAAAACATGCATCTTTATTAAAAACAAAAATAACAAAGTGAATATTTGCTTTTGATTTAGCTTGCCATTACTGATAATCAATATGTGACAATCAATGGTGGTGATTGACTGCAGCAGTCCTGAAAGTAAAACTGTAATAGAAGATAAACTGTCAGAAGTTGCTGCGAGTTTGTTAGCTGCTTATGACAGTGGGGAGTTTGTTAGAGCCCTTGAAGAAAGTAGTGGTGGATGGCAGAAATGGGTTAAGGGTTTTTGGTAAATCTACGAAACGCAAGGTTAGTTAAGCAAAGAATATCTCGTTATATATTTTTGAGTCTGTTTAAACATTGTATATGTATATGCTGTTACTTAAGGGCCAAAATGTGCAGGGAAAATTTCTGTTCATGCCCCTTCGAGTTTTGCTGACAGGAATGCTTCATGGTCCTGAAATGGGATCAGCTTTGCTTCTCATCTATGAAGCTGGAAAATGTGGAGTGATAGCACCTCAATCTGGTTTAGTGACTTTGGACGAGAGATTCAAAATGCTTCGAGAGGTTGATTTGGGATTTGCTCAATAATCCTACTGACTGTGTAGGAGCAGCTGATAATAAAACTTTTTAAAGTATATTTGCATGTTTTTTGCTTTTAAGATACTTTGGGATAATCTTATAGGGCACTTAAATAATTAAGATAATTTTTTGTGATAAACATTCACTCGCCAGCCAATCGAATTATTTTTATTGTGATAAACATTCACTTGCCAGCCAACCGAGTTATAGGGCAGTTAAAGCCAGATTATCACGGGTTGGATGCGGGCCAATCACGGGTCAAAAATATGGTTTGTGCATATAATTTTGAACTGATAATTGACTAAGCAAACGGACTTCATTTTGTCTAAAATTTTGGCTATATGACCGTCTCAATGCAACGAATTCAACGATGGATCGCATACTTGAATCTGACGTGAGATGACACCGTAATTAAGTTGAAAATTGAACAACCCAAATTATTTTGGACGAAAAATTGACTGGGCAAATGGAATCTAATTGAGCTAAAAATTTGTGGTTACGACCGTCTTGATTAGACAAATCCAAGGTGAGTCATCAGATCAAAATGTACACCATAAGGCACCAAAATGATAGATAACAACAAATTTGCGCTAAAATTGTTTTTGATGACGAATTGAGCAGGCAAACGAACTCTAATTGAGATTAAATTTCGTGAGAATAATCGGTTTGACAAAAAGAATTTGATGGTTGGTCACACACCTAAACCTTGGATGCTATATGGCATCGTAATAAAACCGAATAGAAAATAACTCAAATTATTTTAGATGAAAAATTGAGTGGGCAAATGAATTATAATTGGGCTGAAAGTTTACAAATACCACATTCTCGACGAGAAGAATTCAACGATAGGTCACCCACTTTAAACAGACATTAGACGTGTAACATCCCTTTCATTTTTTAAGAGAAAACCCAAATTTTCAGAAAAAATTGAATTTTCCAAAATCACTTTAAAAAATACACACTTTACTGGCATTACTCAAACATCCCTTTCTTTCATTTTCAACTAGATTACCGATGTATTTTGATTTCGAGTTTTAATTTATGGAATTTGGTTGTCGTTGAAAANCTAGTACGTTCCCGTTCTATTCACGGGACATATATAGTAAATGAGTTGTTTTCACAAAATTTGTTTGTTTAAGTCTGAAACATTAACCAACCGTAACTCCCATTTTCTTCTTCGCATTTCAGAAACGGGATTCCTTCCCCAAATCCTCCACCGCCGTCTCCAGATCCTCCGCTGCTGCTCCTCCGCAGTCCACCATAAATCGCCCCAATCCAAACCATCTCCAGAATTGTCCGCTCAACAAAAAATCATCCCCTCATCTCTGCGTCTGCGTGTAGTTCGGTCTTTGGTCCGGTCAAGGAGCTCGTGGTCACCGGTCGTCGACTCGCCGGGCACACGGTTGCACTTGTTCACCGTCAAGGGCGAAATTCCCCACGATTTTTTGTCTCCCTCCCAAAATCTCAGTTTTATTTTCAAGGTATGATATTTTTTTAACTTCATTTCTTGTTTCTTGTTATGGTGGCTTGTGTAGAGAACTGTTTCCGGTTGCTTATGCAGGACATTTTTTGCTGTTGTCCCTTACAATCTCTTTATATTCAGTGGATCTGATGCTTGTTGTTTAATATAGTTTGTGAGAACCACTTGTTCTTCTACAGCGTAAAAGAGTGCTGTAAGTAATTTTTTAGTTTTATTTTCTAATTGCAGATTTGTAGTGAAAAATCATATATGTTTGTGAGATGTTTATTTTTCTTCCTTTCCCTTTCTTTCTACTGAAACTCTTTCCCTAAAAAAAGGTTTTTTTGTAAGAGTTCGGTTAACCGACCGAATAGTTCGGTTCGGTTATATTTCGGTTTTAAGCAAATCGGTGGGTCGGTTCGGTTGACGATGAACACCCCTAGTGATACTGTCAATTAGACTCAACGCGTTTTAAAATTATATATAAGGGGATGAGTTAATGTTTTAGAAGTTTAATATTTTCTCAATTTATGAGAAATACAAGAGTGATGTTTTATATGATAGTCACATAAATATGAGATTTGCGAAGGTTCATGAGATCAAATGTAAGCGAGAATCCCAAATGAAAATATGAATGCCATGAACGGACCTCCAAATCCCAAACAGAGAGGAACTTCTCCTTGAGCTGGGTCTCGCGCTGTAAACGAGTTGGTGCTATTTTTCGATGTGCTGCTTTAAAACTTAGATCTCTGCCTCACCTCTCCTCTCACACAGAATTAGAGTCTATTGAATCTGAACAAGTCTGGGTGGAAATGGAGTACAGAAGAATCAAGGATCAGGTTGTACATTTACTTCTATCGATTACTTTATATCAACTATCTAATCTAAATGGCATTTTCTCAACATTTTGTGCTCTGTATCTCATTGCTTTGATCTGCTGCAGCTATGTATATGCATTTTTCTTGTTCTATTTGTCTTCTTTGAGTGAAATGCTATCCTAACTTGCTCAAGCCTGTTTCTCACCATTTCCTTTCATCGTTCTCCTGCCTTTCTCCGTGGTCCTTTATGCTGATAAATGCTGAATCGTGCAGGATAAATATGAGGATGCTGTTCATGACGATGTTGAGAGCCTACATGGCAAACCCCATTCAGGTGCATAGCTGTCTCATCAGCTTTTTTTTTTTTTTTTTTTTNTTTTTTAACTTGCCATCTCTCACATTTCATTTCTACACATGCCCAATTCCTTCATTCCTCACATTTTCTGTTCAATTACAGGCTCGCCACATGATATGGTTGCTTTAGGAGGCAATTCTGTTGACCGTACTAAGTGGAAGCGCAAGTATGAATGTCTTTTAAGCATAACAATTGTGTAGCAACACAAGAGTTTTTTCATCTTTCCTTGTTAGTCTTAACCTTAACAAAACAGGTCCGTTGTAACACTTGCACTGACAGTCCTCACAAGTTCGCAAGCAATTCTTATTGTCTGGTCAAAGAGGGCAGGCAAGTATGAATACAGTGTGACAACTGCAAATTTTTTGGTGAGTTAATGATACTAGCTGTTAAGTTAGTCATTGTGGGACTATTGTACTATGCTCTTTTCGCTTCCATTTAGTTGCATGTGTCTTTAAAATTATGTTCTGAACTTGATCTTCAACTGATTACTGTTGTTCAGGTAGAGGCATTAAAGTGTACGTTGTCACTTGCTGCCCTCACAAGAATCTGGAGGAATGAAGGTGTTACTGAGGACAACAGGTTTCTCCCATTTGTGCATTTTCTGTTTATTGACAGAGAGAACAAATTATAATAATTAAATGAGCATAATTCATTTGATAGACCTGAAATGCACAATTTGGTGAACCGTAAAGCATCCTTTGGCTTGTTACAATAATGTTATGCACCTTTGCTTTTTAAATTGATCATTCATGAATAGGTTGAAACTTAAAACTCATCTGAAATGTCTGTGTGGGCTGGGAATCTGTAGAATGATTTTGAAACTCAAAACTTCTTAAAATCTTGTTTACTTGAATTATTTCCACTTGTTCACATGAAATGCTTTTCTTTATTAAATGAATGTAATAACCTGCCTTCATCCCTCATTATAGGTTGAGCACATCATGGGATGAAGTTAGTGTATATCCCATTCCTGCTGCTCTTTACCTCATCAAGAATTTACTTCAAGTAGGTTTTTCTTGTGCGTTAAATATTTCTAGCAATTTCTGGTTCTTTTGCACAATGATGTTTGCTGAACTTTTGCTTGCTGCAGTATTACATCTTTGCATATGTGGATGCTCCAGGTTACCAAATACTGAAGAACTTCAACATTATAAGCACGGGTGTATTATACCGTATCATTCTCAAAAGAAAGTAAGTTCTTGTAACTTGCTGTCTTTGAGTCTAAAGTTTCAGATGTAATAATTCTCTGCTTGACGCACCTCCTCTGAGGATTGAATGATGTATTAGTGTGATGAATTCCAATGTCATCATGTTATGCTGGAAGAATAATGAGTCATTTTTCTGTGGTGTTAATGAATGAGAAGGTGGTGGACAACGGATAATATTTTTTTCCTGAACATGCATAACTGATTTGCAACATTTTATTTTTCTTCCGTTTTTCAGGTTGAGTGAAATTCAGTGGGCAGCTTTTATTTTATTATGTGCAGGGTGCACCACAGCACAACTTAATTCTAAGTAAGGATGTTATGTTTGTATCAATGTGTTCTTGTAATTCAAGCATGGTTTAGATGATTAACCTATTGTTCATAATGCTCACAGCAGTATCTTAATTTTGCGAACTTAGCTTATATAACATTAGAGAATGTAAATTTTCTTGCTTTCCTTCAATCAGTTCCTTAGATACTCTGATTTCATGGTGTTTAATTAAATACCTTGACCTAAATGATTAATGCATGTGAGCTTTATTTAAGTTACACATGTTCAATTTGTTTGCCCATTTAGCATGATAAGCATTGATCTAAAACTTAAATTTAAAAATGCGTTCACAAATTGGTTGCAATGGAAAATGTTTCTTGGGTATCCTACTGTGTCCCAATGGTACGTAAAAGATGGGGCATGCCGCATTGATCTAAAACTTAAATTTAAAAATGCGTTCACAAATTGGTTGCAATGGAAAATGTTTCTTGGGTATCCTACTGTGTCCCAATGGTACGTAAAAGATGGGGCATGCCGATGGGTCTTTGACTTGCTATTTATGTTTCTTCATGCATGTTTCTTTCTCTTATTATGTTTCTGGAGACCCTGATCTTGTGTATGGTTTCTGTCTTTATGGGATCTCATTTTATATGCAGTTCAGATCAAGTGTTGCAAGCACCTTTACAGGGTTGGTTGATGGCAATTGTAAGTTGCTAAACTGAAATCTGTTAGCACATCTATCGAGTCATGATTACTCATCAATCAATCAATCAATCAATCAACAAGCCAAGCTGTTAAAATCCCACTAAGTGGGGTTGGCTATATGGATCACATGTCACCTTCGTGCTCAATCAAAACACCCATCCTCATTCAAATTTAGATATTTTAAATCATTTTTTTTATTGTCTCATTCCAAGTTTTCTTAGGTGTACCCCTCCCCCCTTTTAATTTGCATTCTTAATTCTAATGTTTCTACCCTTCTCACTCGAGGTCTCTCTTACGCAGATGCCCAGACCATCTTAATCGTGATTCTCTCATTTTCTCCTCTATGGACGCTACCCCAACTTTATTTCTAATACTTTCATTTCTAATCTTATTTAACCTAGTATGCCCACACACCAATCTCAACATTCTCATCTCTGCCACTCGCATTTTTCTATCATTTTTATATTTAGTAGCCCAACACTCGGATCCATAAAGCATCGTCGGTCGAATAGCATTCGATAAAACTTTCCTTTCAAAAAGTATCGACAACGCGCTCCTCCACTTGTTCCAACCCGATTGAATTCTAATTCTATGTGTTACATCCTTATCTATGTTGCCATTATCTTCTAGAATGGATCCTAAATATTTAAAACCTTATGTGTTCAATTCGTATTCCCCAATTTTAACCTTTACTAAAATTACACTCCTTATATTCCGTTTTGGCCCTACTTATTTTAAAACCCTTTGTTCATGATTACTCATCAGTGAAAAAAATTAATTGATTCCTTTTAGTTGGTTTCTTTTCATGTCTTTCGAATTTCCCTAGAACTCGATTTCATGTATTGTTATGCAGTAGAAAATTAATGGAAGCAGATCATGGGATCGAATGATCATTTTGTTTTCATATGGACAAAAATAACTGCCCATTGGACTATGTCAAATTATGTTGTTGATTATGAAAGAAGAATTATATTTTAATTTATGAGTCTGCAAAAGTTTCTCATAATTTTATCGACTTGTCTGCCATGTTCTCTTTTAAGGCCTGAGATATTTTTTTGCCGCTTTCTTGATTTAATCCAAAATATTAAATTTTTATTGCCGCTTTCTTGATTTAATCTGAAATCTTAAATATTTTTAAATAATTCTTGTTATATCATTTCAGTTCATGGCTCTTCTTAGTGGTTTTGCTGGAGTGTACACTGAGGTAAATTCGTGGCACATCTTTTGACCTTGAGCATAGTTTCTCTCGTTGACTTAAGCAGTTAGTGTATGAACTCTGCATCTTGTAATGTCCTGCTGCAACTCTATTTGTTATTCTCTCATAAATACCACTATCAAATGAATCCATTTTCTATCATGTTGACACTCCATATTAAGCTCATTTGAGAATTATTTGAGACCTTATATCTGCTATGTCTTCTGTAGGCTATTATTAAGAAAAGGCCTTCAAGGAACATTAACGTTCAGAACTTCTGGTTGTATGTATTTGGGATGGCGTTCAATGCTATTGCAATTATCGTCCAAGATTTTGATGCTGTTATGAACAAGTACATTGAAACAACTTGCTGGTGATATTTTCTTTTGTTTATATTTGTCCCATTGACAAGACTTACGCAACTCTTGCCATTGTTGACATACTTTGGAGATATCCTCGAGCTAGCATAGCTAGCGAGATTTTCTGACGGATGAAAAATATATGCATGTTCTAAGAGAGGTATGTTATGCTTTGTCTGCAGGGGATTCTTTCATGGATATTCATTAATCACAGTTCTCATGATCTTGAACCATGCTCTGAGGTACTTTTCCTTTTGGCACCCCTTTAAAACATGAGGACTGCATAAGAACTGTGCCAATTTCCTCTTAAGTTTATGTCGAACACGGACTTTCATGATTTACTCTCCCCTTTTGGTTAATGGCTTCCACAGTTCTGTCGCATCATTACTTTCTCTTTGCGATACGGCAAAAAAGGAAGCAGTAGCTCTTAATTTGAGACATAGAAAGGATTTGTTATGGCATTCTATTATTAGTTGACATTTCTTGTTCATATGTAAAATTTAGGTGCAATTACTTTTTTTACCCCCTGCTCTTCAACATTGTTTATGGATTCATTCCATTATCTCCTAATAATTGTGTGTGTGTCTATGCAGTGGGATTGCTGTATCAATGGTCATGAAATACGCTGACAATATAGTGAAGGTAAAAGGTTGATTTGCATCACTTGCATTCTATGTCCCGTGCAAGTTTGTTAGTAGATCTTGTCCAGACCATTATTTTATTTCTTTTAATAATTTATTTATCTTTCTGTTTTCAGTTTTATATATTATTCCTGATCCAGAAGTCCACTTACCTTCTAGCCTTCGAAATAAATGTTGAGCTCGCAAAGCCCATGATTCTGCATCGCTATTCTCTATAAAATAAAACTGTAGGCCAATTAAACTTAAGTTTTACTGTCCACTTGTTACTTGTACGTCACACGAAAACATGGTTAAATATATTTCAAGGAGATTCAAATGTGACGATAGAGTCGGTATAAATGAAGCAATTTTGCAGGTGTATTCAACTTCAGTTGCCATGTTGCTGACAGCAATTGTCTCCGTTTTCCTATTTGGGTTTCATCTTTCTCTTGCCTTCTTTCTTGGTTCCACGTGAGTAAATATTCTATTTTATCTTTTTGGACATCATTTTTGTTTTTCGAGATTTCATTTTTCTGTTATCATCTGTTTAATATTATTATTTCTGTTTGCAGAGTTGTTTCAGTTGCAGTATATTTACACTCCATTGGGAAGCTGTAGAGGTAGCGAGAGTTCCAGTTTTCAGTCTATCTGCAATAGATCACAATTTGATTACATATGTAAAAATCTACTTGAAGTGTTCGGGTAGTTAGAATACTTGGACATGCCTAGTAGATGACAATTTGATTATTATTATTTTTTAAATACCCCATTTAATCCTCGTATTACCCATTCATTGCAAAAATAACACAATCTATATAAGAGAAGAAAAACAAAAAAGAAACAAAAATAACAAAGCACCAAACAAACATCCGAAGAAAAGAAAGAAAACTCTGAGGAAATGTGATATTCTTCTACTGGGACACAAACTAATATCTACGAATAATGATATTCTTGATAGCTCTAAAAAACTTACATTATGTGCTCACGTCAGTTTCTTCCTCTAGGAAATCGACAATATTCCCATAACATTTTTTAGCATCCTTGTGCACAACATCTAAAAGGCTCGATTCTCCATTTAATTTAAGACCATCAATTAGAATTTTAAACGACTGTCTATCTGGGTCGCACGACAATGATTTCATCAAGTAAAAGCACTCCATTGCCAATCCGGTGAGATTTAAATCCATCAAACTTTTCAGCAATGCATTAAAGCCCTCAAGATCTGCTGCATTTATATTGTCTTCTCCTTTTAGACCATGGATAAGCAATTCCACATTCTCAACAAATCCATTGCGCCCCAAAACTGTAAGCATTTCAGCATAGAGCGACAACTGAGGCTTATACCAATCCTCTCTCCGGACATCCTCAAAAACCTACACCCGACAACAGAAGATTAGACCATAAAAAATGACAGATAGAACCAGCAAAAAGAAGCATATGAGCAGCTTGAATATCTCCAATAAGAAGAATGAAATCGAACGTAGAAGTAGGAGACATTATTATCAGGCATAGGAGACACCACAATGCATCCTTCACTTTTTAGTTCTTTATTATCCACGAAATTGATGCAAAACGATGCTCCTATATTTTCTCAATTTTTGTACTATATATGGACTTCAGTTCTTAAGTTTCTGTAGCAAATGTTTCTTAGTGCCATCGAATAGATCTATGGAATAGAAATTGTCAGCCGAGTCCTTAAACTAACAGTAGATGATTTTTTGGATTATAGCAATTTAAGCAAATCAAGGACTCGGATTAAACTTCTGCGTGAAGTCAAGAGAGCAGAATTACAGTTGCAACACAAACTGTTGGTCCATAGAGTATTAGAGATGAAACAATTCATATTTATATGTATTATATCTTTTTTTTTTTCTCTGGTGAAATGCAGTTCCCTAAAATTGTAATCGTACATAGCCGCCAATCCTAAAGTTGTCCCCACCAATCCGATAATATAATTTAGCCCCTACTCATCTGATGGAATTAAAGTACTACGTGCTCGTGCATATATTATTGTCACACCATTATGTACAGAGATCGCCATGTCCAAAAAATTCGTAATTTAATGCCCAAAATTTAAAACAAACTAATAAACAAGGGATGTAAATATCTTCCCGAACATGATTACAACAAATTACAAACACAGACAAAAGATACGTTCACATACTATATAACTATTTGATCACTTTTGCTCTCTGCTCTCGTTCATGTGGTTTTACAAAAAAAGTACCCCACGTACGAACACATTTTATTGTAACACCATATCAACGACTGCTTCAAATCTTGTAGAAACTCTAATTCATATACCATTGACAGATTGAATGAATAGACAGATTAAAACTGCACGGTGGAATTCAACAAACAAGAGATGAGTAGCACACACACACACCTGGACTGCCAGAAGACATTGATTCTGGCGAAGGAGTTCACGAAGAACAGCAATCATATCAAACTTCAACAAACGCCTGAATTTGTCATCAAATACTTGCTCCAAAGATCTATTAGAGTGTATGGCGGCCCGTTTCAATGCTTGAACAGTCTGGATAGCCTCGATGCTGAGACTTCTCCCCTTCTGTAGGGGTTTTCTGTTCTTGCTTCTATCTCTCATTACAATGGTCCCACTTTTATGGGAGCTGGGCCTTACATGAGTCATTAGTTTCACTTGCTCTCGGTGGAGTATTCCTCTTGTGCGTATTTCAATTGCATGAGTAAAACAGATCATTCTGGAAAACCGTATTCCAACTTCTCCCTATCACAGTGGACAGTTCAAGTTCAAGAGTGCTTGAGGAACATGAAGACTTCTCAATGATATAAGATATTTCGTTTTTTTTTTATTAACAAATTCCTCTAGACATCACTCCCCAATTTGACTGTTTGAACTAAAATTTCTTGATTTTAGTTCACATATTAACATTTAAGCACAATTACAACACACCTATAAGAAATTAAGAATGATCAGAGAGAGATAGAGAGAGAGGAAAACATGTTCCAAAGAGAATATGAACACAAACACAAGTAACAAAAAGTATTTTTCACAAATTCAAGATATTTTCTACACAAATTCCTGTAACTCTTTATATGAAGTGTGGTTGGAGGTTTCTACTCTCTCAAAATTTTACTATCAGGGCAAAGATTTCATGAAATCCTGGAATGACCCAGTAAACTACATATACTCAGAAATGAGAATCTTAACTCTCAATTCTCATTAATAGTTATTAAAAGAAAAGTTCTAAATATGGGATGAAACA